TCTTTCTTTCTTTCTTTCTTTCTTTCTTTCTTTCTTTCTTTCTTTCTTTCTTTCTTTCTTTCTTTCTTCTTCCTGGCTTGCTGGCTTGCTTGTTTGCTTATAAAGTTTTCTGGTGTTGACCACCAGACATAATAACATCATGCTGTAAGCAAACTTACAAAGAACCTGAAGCCTTTTGAAGATTCAATGCACTGTCAATTTAGGATGCCAATTTCACCTCTGCTTTTCGGGATCTGTGACAACAAATATGTGGACAATTAGAAATAACATCTGTTTTATTAAACTATATGCCACGTGCCTGTTGAATTCTCCTTGGTAGGACATGCATCTAATCATTCAATAAGGACTTAGAGTAACCATCTGGCCATCTGGCCAACTGCTTTGGACTAACTATGCCTGCAGTTTCCCACCAGGCAGAACACCTTTCTGAAACCATCCTTCTGCTTTCCTTATTTTCCAGCTGGAATCCTTACTACATGCTCTGTAAACATAACATAAAGAGGACTCGGTGCTTAAGAAGTCTAAACGCACAGATGAAATCAACCACATCTAAATGTGGCCAAAGAAAGTCCATTTCCTTATTGAGAAATTATGGAGATATTTGCTTTTCAGTACATTAAATCTGAAGCTACATTAGTAGTCTCTGTTTCTTTAGATTTTGTGAAAGGGAACTGAAATCCAGCAAGTCGTATCAGGAGCCCATTCAAAAAATGAACAAAAAAGCAAATGAAAACAACCCAGAATGAGGTGGTATAGTTTTCATTTTGCGTTCTGTAGGCATAGGTCCCTTCTTTAAAATTTGCAATTTTCTCTGAAAGGCGGTGGATTTTCACTTCAGAGGCAAACAATATCATGACAAGACAGCCACAGGAGCCTGCAACACAAAGAACAGACAACAGCTTAGGACAAATATTACCTGATTGTAAGAGTCAAAGAGGACATCAATGAGCAAACCATAGACAACATGTCTCCACCATACTCAGCCACGCTCTTCTCAAAAATAATACCATTGTAAAACTGCAATCATGCGCTTGATTCTAGCACTTTGGAAATGGCTGTGAAAAATATTTGTATGGGGAGGGGACATTGATGGCTTGAATATGGCAGTTAGAATCAAGCGGATCTTACTGCAGCCTGCATTGCTGGACACCTTCAAAGCACACTGACAAACCCAACTGCTAAGCAGCCACTGTGGCTTCAAGAGAACACATTTCTCTGTACTTCACAGGTGATAAAGGACAAATGTCAGTCATTTAAACCCTTCTGAAAGGTCCCTGATTTCCTCATAAAAATAGTACCATGACCCCTCCAACTCTCAACTTGTCAACACTGCCCAGAGGAGTACCTGGGCCAAAGGTAGCTTTGGATAAAATGTTGCTGACCAAGAGTATACCTGTTCTCTTTATAGCTGAATTCAGATTTCAGCTGGGCATGTGGCTGCCTTTAATAAATTCAGGTGAGTTGAGGGTAGGTGAGGTGAAGCAGGAACTTTCTGCTTCCCTTCCTTCTCATAACTGAAATATGGATGCAATGCCTTCTGGGGACATTTTGGCCCAGGTGGCATCAGAAATGGAAGCTATGGGGCAGGGGAGATAGCTCTCTGGTTAAAGTACATACTGTACAAGTGTAAGCACCAGAGTTCAGATCCTCAGAACCCACGTAATTGCTGGGTAGGTGTGGTGGTCACCCTGTAATTCAGGCCTTTCCACCTTCAAGTGGATGGACTCAGGGACAGAAGCAAGTAGCAAGTGCGACCAGACCTAGAGGATGGAGGGCTAGGATTCCTGAAAGCTTTGATAGCTACTGCGTTATTTAGGCTGACAATAAGCGGTTCTTACTAGTGGTTGACTAGCTGAGATGGCTTTCTGACTTTGGTCAAACCAGTTGAGTTCAAACCCAAATTTCTTCTCTTAATATATAAAATTAAATGATTGGAATCCCCAAATTGCATCTTCAGTTACATCATCTGTAATATGTGGACATTTCCTGATTAGATTTTGACATTGGAATTGATACATATAAATGAGCAATTAATAGTTTGTCTTACGATGCTTATATACCACTTTTTTTTATTTCTTGCAATCTTTTCTAAAGACTTTATTTTATATGCATGAGTGTTTTGCTCACATGTATGTCTACATGCCTGGTGCCCGGAGGAGTCAGACAAGGGTACCAGATCCCCAGGGACTGGAGTTCCAAACAGTTGTGAGCCACCACATTGGTATTAGTATCAAACCTGGGTCCTCTGCAAGAACAGTAAGTGCTCTTAATTGCTGAGCCATCTCTCCAGCCACTCTTGTTCCAAATCAGAATCTGTTGCACTGTCCTACCCCACACCAGGAATGTCTTACTACATCTAACTATAATACAGTTATTTCTTCAAGTAGGATTATTGTCAACTTAGCACGTGACTCTTTTTATTCATTGATTTCAATTACTTCAAATATTGTGGGAGCAGCAACATGGTCTTGGTTACCATTCATTAATTCTTTCATTCATTTGTTTTCAGATAGATGTATTATATGCCAGGCACAGAGATAGTAGTGGAGATCCAACTCGGAAAGAAAATATACATGGTCTCTGCTCCCAAAGATAGCTAGAAACAATTATAAACTATTACAGTGAGTGTCACAATAGGGAATGTGGGTCAATATTAGCAAGGCAGGCAGCATCCTCAGGTGTGTGTGTGTGTGTGTGTGTGTGTATAAAGTTGGTTCACAAAGGAAGGCTGGGTTGTATAGGAGAATCCAGTAAGTGTGGGCACAGGGCCCCATGCCTTCTCCAGAAAGCAGGCTTGGATTGCTGCATAGATAGAAACTGATAACTGATTGTGGGGGGAGGGCAGGAGACATGAAGAGGAAAGGTGAAGTCATGTTTCTGCTATGGGACTTCACAAAAATGCACCTGTCATCCTAGCACTTGTGATGTGGAGGCAGGAGGATTGAATGAAAAATAGAAGTAAAAAATAAAGGCAGGCAGGCCGGCAGACAGACAGATGAGAAAGAGAGAATGAATGAATGAATGAATGAATGAATGAATGAATGAATGAATGAATTGCACCTGGGGGCGGCCCCATCAAGTCAGTCATCATCATACAACAGTACAAACAGTGAAATGATATTGCTTTCTCAATGCTTCATGTCCTCCCGGCCCTGGCGTGACCCTGGAAAGATTCCTTTGTGAGATTTGTCAGCCTAACTATTTTTGTATTCTGAGCTTCAAACCAGAGCGCTCCCCTTGCAAGCCATATGATTCCTTTATTGTTAGACCCTAACAAAAAGGCTGAGATGCTGTTTTCTCTTTATCCTTTATTTGAAAATTGTAGAGAAAAATGCCATTCCTGTTACAGTAAGAGCTTCCTTTGTCTGAGGAGATGGTGAGTTTCAGACAGGAGAGGAAGACTATTTCCTCAGTGCCTGAAAGGAAAATTCAAGCTCAGTTTCCTTTTCAAGTCATTAAATATTTTAAAGGGATACTTTGTTAAGGGGACAGAGTCTTAGTGAGCCTGCATTTCGGATTTCTTAGTAAAGTCACCTGCACTTCTTGAAATGCAAACAGTAGCTCATCTGTCAAGATCATGAGAAACCCGGACACAGTATATGGGCTAATAGAGTGGTCTGTAACTTCTCTCTGGACTCTGGGTTTGACCACAACCAACTTTGTTATCTTGAAGTCAGAGGACAGAAACCAAGCCTAAGCCCTAGACAAACTGCCTGGGACTACTAAAGAGAATCAACTCAGTGTGAATTGGAGATATTTTCGCTTCTCTTTGTCCATATCTACAAAAGAGATGTGGGATCAAGGATAACTATTTATGACTTAGCGACCAAAAGACATACATGAAGGCTTTTTCACTGTGTGGCCTGGCTGCTTGGGATGTGGAGAGAGGTGGGTTGAGAGATGTGAGAGGTGGTGGGAACAGGGCTTGTCACATTTCCAAAATGATTCTCTATCACAGCAAGAACGGCCTGTACATCATGTCACCTATTTAGAGGGTCTTACTTTGTTCCCTTTTGAAACTTTCTTTTGAAAGTTCTCCCTCCCACAAAGAGTGGTGTGCTTGAAGTCAGTGGAACACGTCCACCTGGAGAACATGACTGAAGTATAGTCCATACTGCTGGGACCCTAGAGTTGGTACCCTTACAGACCTGAACTCATATTCAGGGCTGTGTGGTTATCTTGCTGGGGTCAGCCCTCCCAAGCACATGTTGGTGACTGCTGGTACGTATCCCTGAGCACTATGAGTTTCTTAGGAACACCCATTTGATAGCTCAATGGCATGCCCCTCAATATATACTCAAAGCCTTTCCTGGATGAGATGAAGCCAAACTGAGACAAGAAGCAGACTGAACAGGAACTGATGGGTCGTTGTCTCTTACTCATGTGCAGAGGCTATCAGAGTCAAGAATTCTAAATTTAAATCCCTCCTAGGCCCTTCTGGAGGGACAGTTCCTGGGACAGAAAATTCAACACATTGTATTTAATGGTTTAATTAACTTTAAACTTAAATGTTTCAATGCATACTTATAGATTTTCATTTGTATTCTCTGAAGGCCTTACAAGTGTTAGAATTAAGCTTGTGTGTCCTTCTTCTCTTTTATTTCAGTGAACATGTTACCTCAAACCCCCTCACTCAGCTGGAGGCACTGGGGCAGCTCCCCAATGTGTCTGTCCATCTGATCATCTCCGCTGTACTCACAGAAAAGTTAGAATGAACCAGACTTTGGACATTCACTGAACCTCACTCACACTAGAATTTGGAAAACAACTGGGCACAAAGCCTACATTTGCAGCCTAGTGTCACACCCAATGACCACAACCTCTTTCTTGTCATCTGTCTGATTCCCCCACCATCTGGATGGTGCTACCGTTATGCTCCCCTCTTTAATGGCTTTGATTACTGAGCTAATTTCTAAGCGGATAAGATAGCTGAGTGATAGGGCTGTCGAACCATGAATGATCAGACATTGACAAATGCTCGTGATGTTCGAGATACTGCACACTCTGGCTCTCATCTGGCAGCTGCTTGGGAGTGCTGAGTCAGGTGCCTGTCTCCTCAGGCCAGACAACACAAGGAACATAGATCACAGCCAGTAAGAAAACTGCTTTTCCCATTCTGCTTAGCCTTGAGCATAACTATATTTTGAGTGAGAACACCTCTCAGGGTCTATGGGTATCCACTGTGTTGTGGGCTGATGTCCTCACAGGGGAAGGAATTCTGAAATTATCGTACTAGCACTAAATTCTGATTTTGGAAGATAAAAAATTAGAATGCCAGTTTCTTTGAAAGTAATGGCCAACATCTGCAGAATGAAAACACATGTCTTCTAGGTGAGAAATAGTAGAGGCATCCCCTGTCTAACATAGAACGATCAATTACTTCTTTAGCACCTTGAAAGATGAAAAATAAGGGTGGGGAATTCACATCTTAATAGGTGTGGTGTTGATCTCCTGTGTGTGACTTTATACAGTGCCACTCATTGAAGGTGAGGTCTCTTACCTTCAGTAATGACTTCATTCCTATGTATTCCTAGACCATTCCTAGGTAGAAGCTTTCGGATTCCACACTGCTACAAAGCCACCACATAGAGAGGGAGTCAACAGACACCAAAGAGTGAATTTTAAAGTTGTGATAGCAAGCAGTTTGTCTACGTGGTTACACAGAAGAGTTGCAGGAAAAAGGAGCAACATTAGTTAAGCTAAGCTTCCCCTGTCTTCTATAATAGGTGGTTAAACGCCCCATGTTTCCCTGAGTTTTCTCAGTGTTCTCTTATTGAGTGGGGTCTAAAAACACGACGCTTGATGTAAATGGTGTTTTAAAGAAGAATGTCATTGTTGCTAGTGGATATGCAGAGCTGGTTTTGTTTTATGCAT